AACCTTCACGGCGCGCATAACGGAGATAAAACGCCTCAATTACTGGGAGCGCTTGAGGTTCCTGAACCTGTATTCCCTGGAACGCAGGCGGGAGAGATACATGATTATATACACCTGGAAAATCCTAGAGGGACTAGTACCGAACTTGCACACGAAAATCACACACTACGAAAGCAAAAGACTTGGCAGACGATGCAACATCCCCCAATGAAAAGCAGGGGTGTCACTAGCACGTTAAGAGACCATACAATAAGTGTCAGGGGCCCGAGACTGTTCAACTGCCTCCCAGCATACAGACCCCTGGCAGTCTTTAAGCTGGCACTGGACAAGCACCTAAAGTCGGTTCCTGACCAGCCGGGCTGTGGCTCGTACGTTGGTTTGCGTGCAGCCAGCAGCAACAGCCTGGTTGATCAGGCTCTGATCCACTAGAAGGCCTGGTCACAGACCGGGCAGCGGGGGGTTGACCCCCGGATCTCTCTCCAGGTAAATAACAAGCGGTTTTCTATATAGTATAATGACACTGATGTCAGCTAGGCTTGTATATCTTGTACATGTACTTACAGAAATAAGGATAATTATATTATTATTATTTTTATTATTATTTTTTATTTATTTGATTATTATTTTTATTATTTTTTATTATTATTATTATTATTTTATTTTATTATGTATTTCCCCAGCAATAGGACTAATTTATAGAATAAAATACTACTGGCATATAATAAACAAGTACTTAACCAATTAAACAAGTAAGAAAACAAGCAAGAAGTAGGAAAAAAAGTAAATAGGGACTTAAAATCTTTTGTTGTTTGCTATATCTGAAGGCAACTAATTTTATAATTTTTTTACGCTAGCATATGTTTAAAAGAAAACAAATAACTCAAAGAAATTGTTTATGGGAGCTAAAAGAATATGTGCCTTATTAAATTTTATTAGTTTTTATTGTAGCCTATGCACAGTAGAGTATTATTTCATGGAGTAAACAAACTTAAGAGCGATCTGAATGTTTCATGCGTTGCTAATAGCAATGAAAAAAGATTGAAGTGAGGGAAAGACAGGCAAGGTCAACTTACCTCCTTTTATTCAAAGACCCCACCAGTCGTCTTTTTTTTCCTCATTGAACTCGATCTGAAAATTTTACAGAGACATGAAAAAAAGATCTGTCAATAATGGAGACCATGAACAAGATCTGCCAGGGAAAGGAAACAAGAAAACAGATCTGCCAATAATGGGACATGAACAAGATCTGCCGGAATGGAGACATGAAACAAGATCTCAAGAATGGAGATATGAAACAAGATCTGCCAAAAATTGGGACTGAAACAGTTCTGCATAATGGAGACATGAAACAAGAATCTGCCAGGGAAAGGAGACATGAAACAAATCTGTCAATAATGGAGACATGAAACAAGATCTGCCAAGAATGGAGACATGAAACAAGTTTTCCAAGAATGGGGGACATGAAAAAGATCTGCCAAGGGAAAGGAGACATGAAACAATTATCAAGAATGGAGACAGAAAAAGATCTGCCAGGGAAAGGAGACATGAAAACAAAAATCTCCAAGAATGGAGACATGAAACAAGATCAGCCAAGAATGGAGACATGAAACAAGATTTTACCAAGAATGGAGACATGAAACAAGATCAGCCAAGAATGGAAGACATTTAAAAAAATCTGCCAAGAATGAACATGAAACAAGATCAGCAAGAATGGAGACTGAAACAAATCTGCCAAGAAGGAGACAAGAAACAAATCGCCAAGAATAGAGACATGAAACAAGATTGCCAGAAGGAGACATTTAAACAAGGGTCTGCCAAGAATGGAGACTGAAACAAAATCAGCCAAAATGGAGACATGAAAACAAGGCTGCCCAAAAATGGAGACTGAAACAAGATCGCCAAGAATGGAGACATGAAAAAGATCTGCCAAAATGGGGACATGAAACAAGATCTGCCAAGATGGGGACATGAAACAAGATCTGCCCAAAAGGAGACATGAAAAAAAGATCTGCCAAGAATGGAGACATGAAACAAGATCTGGGCCCAAAAATGGAACATGAAACAAGATCAGTCAAGAATGGAGACATGAAACAAGATCTGCCAAGAATGGAGACATGAAACAAGATCAGCCAAGAATGGAGACATGAAACAAGATCTGCCAAGAATGGAGACATGAAACAAGATCAGCCAAAAATGGAGACATGAAACAAGCTCTGCCAAGAATGGAGACATGAAACAAGTCTGCCAAGAATGGGGACATGAAACAAGTTCTGCCAAGAATGGAGACATGAAACAAGTTCTGCCAAGAATGGAGACATGAAACAAGATCGCCAAAATGGAGACATGAAACAAGATCTGCCAAGAATGGGGACATGAAACAAGATCTGCCAAGAATGGAGACATGAAACAAGATCTGCCAAGAATGGGGACATGAAACAAGATCTGCAAGAATGGAGGGCATGAAACAAGTTTTGCCAGAATGGAGACATGAAACAAGTTCTGCCAAGAATGGAGACATGAAACAAGATCTGCCAAGAATGGAGACATGAAACAAGATCTGCCAAGAATGGAGACATTAAACAAGATCTGCCAAGAATGGGGACATTAAACAAGATCTGCCAAGAATGGAGACATGAAACAAGTTCTGCCAAGAATGGAGACATGAAACAAGTTCTGCCCCAAAGAATGGAGACATGAACAAGATCTGCCAAAATGGGACATTAAACAAGATCTGCCAAGAATGGGGACATGAAACAAGATCTGCCAAGAATGGAGACATGAAACAAGTTCTGCCAAGAATGGAGACATGAAACAAGATCTGCCAAGAATGGGGACATTAAACAAGTTCTGCCAAGAATGGAGACATGAAACAAGATCTGCCAAGAATGGGGACATTAAACAAGATCTGCCAAGAATGGGGGACATTTAAACAAGTTTTGCCAAGAATGGAGACATGAAACAAAAATCTGCCAAGAATGGGGACATTAAACAAGTTCTGCCAAGAATGGAGACATGAAACAAGTTTTGCCAAAGAATGGGGACATGAAAAAAGATCTGCCCCAAAAATGGAGACATGAAACAAGTCTGCCAAGAATGGAGACATAAACAAGATCTGCCAAGAATGGAGACATGAAACAAGATCTGCCAAGAATGGGGACATGAAACAAGATCTGCCAAGAATGGAGACATGAAACAAGATCTGCCAAGAATGGGGACATGAAACAAGTTCTGCCAAGAATGGAGACAAAGAAACAGATTTTGCCAAGAATGGGGACATAAACAAGATCTTCCAGAATTTGGGGCCCTAACCAAGATCTGCCAAGAAATGGAGACATGAAACAAGATCTCGCCAAGAATGGGACATGAAACAAGATCTGCCAGAATGGGACAGAAACAAAATCTGCCAAGAAAGGAGACATGAAACAAGATCTTTCCCAAGAATGGAGACATAAACAAGATTGCCAAGAATGGGGACATGAAAAGATCTGCCAAGAATGGGGAATGAAACAAGATCTTTGCAAGAATGGAGACATGAAAACAGATCTGCCAAGAATGGAGACATTGAAACAAGATCTGCCAAGAATGGAGACATGAAACAAGATTTTGCCAAGAATGGGACATGAAACAAGATCTGCCAAGAATGGGGACATTAAACAAGATTTTGCCAAGAATGGGGGACATTAAACAAGATCTGCCAAGAATGGGGACATTAAACAAGATCTGCCAAGAATGGGGACATTAAACAAGATCTGCCAAGAATGGGGACATTAAACAAGTTCTGCCAAGAATGGGGACATGAAACAAGATCTGCCAAGAATGGAGACATGAAACAAGATCTGCCAAGAATGGAGACATGAAACAAGATCTGCCAAGAATGGGGACATGAAACAAGATCTGCCAAGAATGGGGACATGAAACAAGATCTGCCAAGAATGGAGACATGAAACAAGATCTGCCAAGAATGGATACATGAAACAAGATCTGCCAGAATGGAGACATGAAACAAGATCTGCCAAGAATGGGGACATGAAACAAGATCTGCCAAGAATGGGGACATTAAACAAGATCTGCCAAGAATGGGGACATTAAACAAGATCTGCCAAGAATGGGGACATTAAACAAGATCTGCCAAGAATGGGGACATTAAACAAGATCTGCCAAGAATGGGGACATTAAACAGATCTGCCAAGAATGGGGACATAAACAGATCTGCCAAGAATGGGGACAATAAACAAGATCTGCCCAAAAATGGGACATGAAACAAGATCTGCCAAGAATGGGGACATAAACAAGATCGCCAAGAATGGGAATAAAAAATGCAAAATGGGCATGAAAAAGATTGCCCAAGATGGGGAAATTAAACAATTGCAGTGGAAATTAACGTCGCCAGTTGGAATATAATGATTACTGAAGAATAAGGGGGACTTTCAAGATTGCAAAAAAGACAGAAAAAAGGTACCTTGCGTGACTGAAAGGACTGAAGAAAGATGACAATGGCCAAGAAGGGGACATGAACCTCCGAAAGAGGCTGCAATTTGAACTACTAAAGAAAAGTCTGCCCAAAATGGGAAAATACCGACTGCCGAAGGGACTTTAAACCAACTTGAAGAGGGTGCATTAAAAAACCCCCGAGAGGTGGCAAAAAAATGAACCCACCTTAGAGGGGGGACTGTAAACCACTGAATGGGGCATGGAATTCTTTTCGACGGTGGCACGTGAAAAACTTGAAAGACTGTCCACTAGAATACCTTGACGACGGTGGCACTGTGAACCTACCTTGACGACGGTGGCACTGTGAACCTACCTTGACGACGGTGGCACTATGAACCTACCTTGACGACGGTGGCACTGTGAACCTACCTTGACGACGGTGGCACTATGAACCTACCTTGACGACGGTGGCACTATGAACCTACCTTGACGACGGTGGCACTGTGAACCTACCTTGACGACGGTGGCACTATGAACCTACCTTGACGACGGTGGCACTATGAACCTACCTTGATGACGGTAGCACTGTGTAGAATGTGAAGGTTGTCCCAGGCTGCTGCTGGTCTGAGGTAAGCCTCCGCTGACGAGGACCTTATACCCTCCTTAATGTTGTAGTATGGACTCGAAAACCCTTAAATACAACAACAACAACAACAATAATAATAATAATAATAATAATAATAATAATAATAATAATAATAATAATAATAATAATAATAATAATAATAATAATAAGTAAATATTGTTAACGTAACCTTCTCATAAGTGTGTTGCAATTAAATTCTTATTGTCAGATCATAAATTTCATTTTTTTTTTTGGCTATTTATATGCTTCTTGAACATTATGATTGCCACTGAAAAGAAATGCCGGATTATTATAAATAGTTCAGTGTTTCAGTGCTCAGCTTGTGAATGAAAGAACAGCAGCCATACATTCCTCCTGTTTCATTATGAAAGATGACCGAAGCAAAACAAAATAGTGTCGTGTTGCTGAAATATCAAATTACTAATCCTCATGGTTGCCAAGGTCTAAGTTTTCTCTGCCGAATAGCAAACAGACGACATCTATCACAGTAAAAAGGCGCGCACACACACACACACACGCACACACACACGTGGCGAGGTGTCAGAGTGGGCACCTGTGACCAGCGGGGTCCCGCAGGGGTCAGTCCTAGGACCAGTGCTGTTTCTGGTATTTGTGAACGACATGACGGAAGTAATAGACTCTGAGGTGTCCCTGTTTGCAGACGACGTGAAATTGATAAGAAGAATTCACTCGATCGAAGACCAGGCAGAACTACAAAGGGATCTGGACAGGCTGCAGACCTGGTCCAGCAATTGGCTCCTGGAGTTCAATCCCACCAAGTGCAAAGTCATGAAGATTGGGGAAGGGCAAAGAAGACCGCAGACGGAGTACAGTCTAGGGGGCCAGAGACTACAAACCTCACTCAAGGAAAAAGATCTTGGGGTGAGTATAACACCAGGCACATCTCCTGAAGCGCACATCAACCAAATAACGGCTGCAGCATATGGGCGCCTGGCAAACCTCAAAACAGCATTCCGACATCTTAATAAGGAATCGTTCAGGACCCTGTACACCGTGTACGTTAGGCCCATATTGGAGTATGCGGCACCAGTTTGGAACCCACACCTAGTCAAGCATGTAAAGAAACTAGAGAAAGTGCAAAGGTTTGCAACAAGACTAGTCCCAGAGTTAAGAGGTATGTCCTATGATGAGAGGTTAAGGGAAATCAACCTGACGACACTGGAGGACAGGAGAGATAGGGGGGACATGATAACGACTTACAAAATACTGAGACGAATTGACAAGGTGGACAAAGACAGGATGTTCCAGAGACTGGACACAGCAACACGGGGACACAGTTGGAAGCTGAAGACACAGATGAATCAAAGGGATGTTAGGAAGTATTTCTTCAGCCACAGAGTAGTCAGGAAGTGGAATAGTTTGGGAAGCGATAGTAGTGGAGGCAGGATCCATACATAGCTTTAAGCAGAGGTACGATAAAGCTCATGGTTCAGGGAGAGTGACCTAGTAGCGATCAGTAAAGAGGCGGGGCCAGGAGCTTGCACTCGACCCCTGCAACCTCAACTAGGTGAGAACTAGGTGAGTACACACACACACACAAAAAAAGTAGCGGATGGAATTACTGCATCAGGCGACGTTTCGCCCTTGGAGAGTGCTTCATCCACTCTCATAAGGACTTGTTTAAAGAGAGCGAAAATTAGTAATTAAATTTTTTCCAACTTCAATGAAACTGTTACCCTGGCTCCTACCTCGTCCAATACCAGTCCAAACATTTCTGTAAATGAGATACACCAGTGTTTATAGTTTGAAGAGGAATTTCCCAATTATTGTATGGAATCCAATGCATTAAAACTTTTACAATCTAAAAATCAACGCAACGCTTCCACTGAGGGGAGAAAAAACACCAGTTGCTAAAAGTTTGATGCCTACCAGATGTGCTTTTAGTTATCGTGCAGAATCCAATAATTCCAAGTTTATTAACTATGTTAACATGTTAGATCATTATTATAATCAGAGCTAAGCGCTAAACCCATAAGGGTCTATACAGTATACGAAAATATACAGCGCTGGTTAATATGTTAGAAGATTTACACCTACACATCCGAAATCTAAATTAACCGTCATTTTCATAACACATACCAACCATTAAAAACTGAAGCGGTTCAGAAGAGGCACACTCTAAGTTATTTCAGGATAAAAAAAAGGCACTTTTTAACAATATAATGGACACATTGGGAGCTACGCACTTCAATAAAAATCCCAACCTTCTAAGTAGGCTACATTAGTGTTGAAAATTTGAGGCCGATTAGAAGAGGCCTTTTCAAGTAATCCTGGAATAGTTGATATAAAATTAACCTTAGACCTCTTGTATATAGTACTGGTTTGATGAACCCTTTCCTTAGTTACAATATACCAGCGGGATTTATACATCGAGAGGTGTATATCTCTAAAACATAGAATATATAAACGGAGGTCCCTCTCTTGCAGTGTATGTACACTTATTATTTACTTAAACCAGTATCTTAAGATTAAAGTATTCGTGGTTGTTATTAATAGGTGAATTTTGTCTTAATGAAACACGGACACCCTGTCGGCTGCCCATGTTTTTCTAGTCTAATGGGTTCCTACCTAGTGTCTCAGGGCCATTAGGATCGATGATGTTGTAACCGAGCTCCTGTCCAGCCTGGAGGAAGGCGGTGGCCAGGCTGCCAGGGCTGTGTCCAGGACTCACTGCTAGAGGGCCTCCTCGACCGTGGTAAAATTCTGTGGAAGAAACGATAAACCTCTAGCCTTCTGAATGAAAAGTGAGGAAGTGTGGTGTGCAGAATTGAAGGCACGTGCATGAACGTTGAAACCTCGAGACATTCTACCTTAGGTTTTAAAATACAGAGATAGTTCAAATGTTTTTTCTTGGTTGTAGATGGCGGAAGCCAAAAAAATGGTTATAGATGAATGATAGAAGTAATCATGATTATGAATGATCATGATTACGAATGAAAGGAGTGATCATGATTATGAATGATAGGGGTGATTATTATTAAGAATGATAGGGGTGATCATTATTAAGAATGATAGGGGTGATCATTATTAAGAATGTGTAGAAAATACTGTATATTTTCAAAAAATACAGTGTATTTTATATGTAAATTGATGGCCCATATTTTAGGTAATAAAAATTAATTTGCAAATAAATAAAGAACCAGCGATGGGTGAGCGTCGCTGGGAGATGCTATTGTTTTGAATGGGGTAAAGGCACACTAGTGAAATGTGCATAAATTTCGTCGCTTTGGAAGCTAAATTGTGGTTGAAACTTCCCAAATAGGAGCCAAAATTATTGGATTTGCAGTCCTGCATAACGTGAGCATTAAGCAGATGGATAGGACAGCTTTGGAACCCCAGCTAAGTTGTCTATTTATGTTGAAATTCTGGCCAGTATTTTCTTTATAATTTAAGCAGGGGGGTTTTGAGTATGACACACCATAATCTCCAGACTAATTGGTGAGTCTTATTATTATAAATTCTCTTTCAATGTATATGCATTCACATTAAATTTAATATACAGTCCACATATTTAAATTAATGTTTTTACCAGAATTCCTGGTGATGTATATTTCATTTGAAATTAATATAGGTCCAGAGTAACTTGTGGAGAGATAGATTATCGTAGGTATCGAAGGAGGACATTTTTTGCGACCTAAGTATCCTAAAATTCCTACTTGTCTCTGTAACCTTGATAAAGAATAATTACCTTTGTTACCATTTACTGGTATGTATCTTATGAGTTACATCCAGGTAAATTTAATTTTCCACAGAATGATAGGGGTGATCATTATTAAGAATGATAGGGGTGATCATTATTAAGAATGACAAGGGTGATCATTATTAAGAATGATAGGGGTGATCATTATTAAGAATGATAGGGGTGATCATTATTAAGAATGATAGGGGTGATCATTATTAAGAATGATGAGAGTGATCATTATTAAGAATGATAGGGGTGATCATTATTAAGAATGATAGGGGTGATCGTTATTAAGAATGATAGGGGTGATCATTATTAAGAATGATAGGGGTGATCATTATTAAGAATGATAGGGGTGATCATTATTAAGAATGATAGGGGTGATCATTATTAAGAATGATAGGGGTGATCATTATTAAGAATGATAGGGATGATCATTATTAAGAATGATAGGGATGATCATTATTAAGAATGATAGTGATGATCATTATTAAGAATGATAGGGATGATCATTATTAAGAATGATAGGGGTGATCATTATTAAGAATGATAGGGGTGATCATTATTAAGAATGATAGGGGTGATCATTATTAAGAATGATAGGGGTGATCATTATTAAGAATGATAGGGATGATCATTATTAAGAATGATAGGGATGATCATTATTAAGAATGATAGGGATGATCATTATTAAGAATGATAGGGTGATCATTATTAAGAATGATAGGGATGATCATTATTAAGAATGATAGGGATGATCATTATTAAGAATGATAGGGGTGATTATGACTACGAATAATAAAAGTCTTCATGATTACTAATGGAAGTGAAAATTATAACAAATGGTTTGAAAGTTAATATTCCGGTTAGATTGTCGCTCTTCCCAAAGTAACTCTTCTCACTTCTATTTGAAGCAATTTTTTTCTGGCGTGTGTATATAATCAAACTAATAACAAGGTGAACCTGCCTGTGAACAAAGTCGCTCTCTCAGCACCACCTCCACACTCACCTGTAGCACCCATGTTATCACCTATGAAGTTCTCAGACTTCATGAAGTGGTAGAGGACACTATTGTAGTCCCATCCAGTGTTACCCAGCTCGGCCCAGTGATCGAAGTCGCGCCTGTTGCCTCTCTCATACACCATGCCGCCCATGGTCGACCCTCCACCCACAGCACGCCCATGCAGAATGGTCGCCCGCTGATCCACATAGTGTGTTAGGTTTTTAAGGTCTTTCGACTGCACGTGGGTTATTATCACTGCAATTCACTTGTGCACTAATATCAAGAATATGTTCTTAAAATATGGATTAACGTCAACTCTCATTTGACGAATAAGACACATGTGCAACACCTGGGTATCTTTATTGACAAGATATCCCGCCTGCACAGCAGAGTTTTTCAGTCTAAAACAGAGAAGACTTTCAAACTGGAGACAGTGGAAGAAGTGGAAAGGTAATTTTAAGACCTGTCCTTTAGCCTAGATAGACGGCGTTCAGTTCCTTAGACTTGATATTTTAACACAAGGCTAAGGGACCGAACATTTGTCAAATATAAAAGACCGAACACTTTAAAATTACTTCTTCAGTTCTCTCACTGTCTGCAATATATATGTCGAATCTTTATTACATTGATAACGCTTGCTGTGCTAGTGAACCATCTTATTAATAAAGATACCCAGTTGTTGTATATATCTTATTCATCAACTTGTTGGTATTGTATACCACTGATGTAATGAAAAATTCTCAGTACATACACCGAGAAATATACACCTCTCGTGGTACACAGTACAATAAACAATGTCCCGAAGGACTCTCTTACTGGAAGGTAGTGACCACAAATATGGGCAATGGAAAGACACGCGCAGAAGGATGGATAATCTTTTGGTGGGCTCAACGGCCAGCGACCAGTGGTGGGCACAGCTAACCGAAAAGTTAGCTTCGCTAACCGCTAATCTGCTAACTAAAAAAAAATAGCTCCACTAACGCTAAACCGCTAAACTGCCGAAAAAATTAGCGGAAGCTAACGCTAACCGCTAACTTTTTAACACGAATTCAGATTGTTTAGTTTTTTGGTCTTTTACTTTTAAGACTTTTAGAACAGACCTGGAGAGCTTCCTAATAAGATATAGAATGCCAAGGTCATATGATGATCAAGTGCCGCTAGTGCGAAAATAGCGATTGTTTAATTCTGTGATGTAACGCAAGCGACCGACAAGGACACACTTGTGACTCACGAAATCGTAATGACACGATTGCAAACAACCTTCCTATGGTGTAGAAATATACCTAGTTGGACGAATCTTTTTGTGGCTAGCTGGTCTAGTGGCTAACGCGACGGACTGGAGTTTTGAGACACACTTGTCACTGTACTGAAGCCCCATAGCAAACTACTCATCTTTAATATTCAAGTATAAGTACCAGTGTTGTAAAGTAACTAAGTAAAACTACTTTACTTCACTACAATCTGATAACGATACGTTACTCGTTACATCATCAGTAATTTTTGAAAAGTAAACACCGAGAAAAGTTATTCAAGTAGAGTACTCAGGTAGTTTTACTTAGTTACTTTACAACACTGGGAAAGGTATTGTACTTCTAAACTGTCATAACTTGCAACACCCACGAAAATTAAGAAAATATAAAAAAAACTATAATAGTAGTTTAATAAGCTCTTATAACTCATAAATACCTTATAAGATACTCCTCCAGCTGTTTATGGCTGACCAAAATCCTCCTGCCCAGGGTGTGGCTGGACATCAACGTCTTGCTGGGGTTCAGCGTCTTGATCAGGCTGACAAATGGTAAGGGATTCCATTACATGCAGCGGTGGTATGTTGCAGACGAATAGGTCCACAATCTTTGTGTGCACCACAGACGCTAGTGCCAAGAGCAACAAACGCTTCGCCAATGGTGGTCTGGCATGCTCTCCTTGTAGGCTGGTGTGATAACTGGCTGCTGCTCCTGCTAGTGGCGCTGCCACAAAAAGATTGCCCGTGCTTTCCACGGGAAGATCCGACCTTGATTCTCTGCTCAAAGTTGATGGCAAGCGCTGGGCGTTTCCTCTTAACCTGCGACTTCAAGTTGTAGAGGCTTGCCACCTGTCCCTTGACGATGGTCTCCTTGGGCTGGCACATGACGCACAGGAAGTACAAAATATTGGCGTTCTTCGTATCCCTTGACTTGAGGACAAAATAGTCATCTAGGTGGGGCCACGGGTTCTGCGACTCCTGACCCTCAGCCTGAGTGGCCTCTGCTTCAACCACGGTGGCTGCATAACCATAATTTTTAAAGGGGTGGACCGGTAAGCCAGCGGAAGGCCTCGGTCAGATGACCAAAAGCTCCAAAGGCGGGTCATCATCTGACTAAGACCCGCGTCAGGAAACATTTGTCCTGTTTCCTGACGAACCTTACCTAACCTAACCTAACGGTGGCTGCAGACTCCTCAACAACACCCTCAGGCAGAACAGAAACGTCTCTTCTGTTCATAACGATAGGTGACAACGCACCCAGGTGATAGCTGACACTGTAAGACTTTAACAGTGCTGCTCAGATGCTGCTGCATTGACAAGTCACGTTTACAGTAGTCAGCCAATAGTATGCCTGACTGACTGTTGGAGAAACGCCCACAACAGACAGGAACAAACACGTGCCCCGTTGAAAAGGCATTGCTTTCCGATTACCAACAACGTATGATTTTTTTTTTTTAGCTGACTCAAAGTTAGCGGAACTTTATTTAACGGAAGCAATTGATTCGCTAACGGTTTCCGAAGTTAGCAGAAACGCTAATCTGCTAAACAAAAAATTAGTTCTGCTATTAGCGGTTAGCGGATTTGCGGAACTGTGCCCACCACTGCCAGCGTTCCATGCAGAGCCCATCAGGATAGGCGTCACACACATGACTTTATAAAGCTTTTCTTTCGCTTGCTCTGTTCTTTCTTCGTGTTACCCTTGCCTATGGTAGGCCTCTCATGCTGAGGTAGGCCCATACATCCCACAGTTACTGAGCGAAAGAGGTAGCCTTCAATACTCCACATTCTCACTGTTGCCCTCGAGTTTAGTGCTCCACGATCTCTTCTGAACGGCTTCAGTATAGAATGACTGATGCATCTTACGGCCAGGATAGTACCCGTTCTAGCGCTCCACGAGACAATAATAATAATAATAATACAGTACCTGGTCGACGAAGTTCTTGAGGCCGTGAGGTTGAGGCTCGGTGAGGTAGTCCCAGTTGTTGTTGCCTCTGACATAACCCAGGGCTACCAGACCTGGCACGTAGGTCTCCGGAGTAGGTGGTTCTCCAGCCTCGAGCACCAGCACCTTCCACCAGCTCACCTCAGCCAGCCTCGCCGCCAGGACGCTCCCTGCTGACCCTCCACCCACTGTACGTAATAATAATGATAATCATAATAATAATTATATTATTATTAATAATGGCTAGCACGCTCCACGTTGACCCTCCACTCATTGTACGTAATAATAATAATAATAATAATAATAATAATAATAATAATAATAATAATAATAATAATAATAATAATAATAATAATAATAAAAATAATAATAATAAACCTTTTAGGATAAAATACTTTACCTAGAGTACTCTAAATCTGTACAATAATTCTGAGGGTACATTATGTATATCAGGCGTCTGAAAGATTTTTCCGACAGGTGTTACAGGCACAGATGTTTGGTGCACAGGTGTTTCGGGCATACAGCAGTGATCACAGCACCTTGATTTACCCTAGGGTAGCCCAGTAAAATTAAAGTGTGACTTATTTGTTTTACTGGTAAGGAGGTACAACGGCAGGACAATTTACCACAAGTGTAAATAAAAATGGAACCACAGCACAAACAACCTACTTTTAGGTAAATAAAAGAAATTATTACAATGCCGAGCTGCGTGTTATTGTTTATATAGAAAAAAATCATGTAGATAATCATTTATGTGGTTGACTATGTATACATGGTTATAGTGTAGCCTGATAATATTTTATGTGGTGGATCACATGTTGTACCGCCGACGAGGCTTTAAGAAACATGTTGCAACACAGTTGTTGGGAGAACGTTTCACTTTGTGTAGATCTTTGTGAGGTTTTATTTTTAGCTGTTTAGAGCTTCAAGTTATGTTTCGCTAGGTGGAACTTTATAGTTATATTTTATGTGTAAAGCCTTATCAAGTCAGTTATCACTGTGTACAGCTTAATAAAGCTGTACACAGAGTTAATAAACCTCTACACAGAGCGAAACGTTTCAGAAAATTTTTGTATTGTGACGTGTCTTTCTTTCACAACTTAGATAACCTGGGTTTCAAGTTTGGCAATCCTGGTAGGATAATCTCCCAAAAGAGGGAAAGATGTATTGTGAACCAAATGCTAAGATAGAGAATACTGAGACACTCAGTATAGATAAACCTAGAGGTAAAAATACCTAGGTAATAGTGCATATGTAGGTGGTTCAGGCAAAGTTTGTCAGGAAACAAGGACAAGTGTTTCCTGACGCCGGTCTTAGTTATATGATGGCCCGCAACTGGAGCTTTTGGTCATCTGACCGAGGCCTTCCCTGGCTTGCCGGTCCAGTATATGCGAGACTCGTCAGTGTGTAGAACTTACCGACGATGAAGTCATACTCGGTGAGGAACTCGTCGGGTCTGTCGTAGTCCTTGTAGGCTTGGTTGGCCTGCTCCATCACCCCCATCAGCAGGAGCCGCACCAGAGGCATCACTGACACCATCACCAGCTGCGTGGGCAGCGCCTTCAGCACGGAAACTACCATCGTCAGTGACTTCTGCTGTGTACCCAGCCAGGTGTCCTCCTACAGCAGAGCTCCCACGCTGCAATGCAACACACAGTCATGCAAGGGTTCTTCACGGTGTGGATGAAGAGGTAATCAACAATAGAGGCAGCCATGCGTCGACCGGATAAACAAACGTGGGTTACTTTGCTCTTTGATTTTCCCTTTTAACCACAACACTTTATATACAATATGCTTTATCAGACGTGATCCCCTTCGCCTTGACGACTCGTCTGCTTGAACTACGATATTAAACGAGACAGCTTAGCGGCGAGAGTCGTAGCTTTCATCACCCGGCGCCGGGGAACAAAGCTCCAACCAGAACAAGATAAAAAAAAAATATTGATCTACCCCATTAAGGAAAGCTCCTTAATGCCTGTGAAGGGCTCGGGATCCAAGTAAGTGGAGTTACCCTCTCCATCCTTGGACTGGACCTGATTACCTCTCATTCTACAAGAGCTATATGACCATTATGGGTTTAACATTTCTCTTTGCATAATAATAATAATAATAATAATAATAATAATAATAATAATAATAATAATAATAATAATAATAATAATTATAATAATAATAAAACATTTATTTTTTAATTCTTGATTTAACCGATGTGTGGAAATTTTTTACATAATTTCCTAAATGTAGAACATATTAATGAACAATATAATAATTGTGTAATAAAATATGATGCTGATTTGACTCTTCAAAGAAATTTCTAGTCAGAGACCCGGGCCGGGATATCATACCGGCAAATCAAATAGAATAGAATAGAATAGAATTTCGAGTGAGGGGGGTGTGAAGAGCTGCTGAGTGACACCGGGGAGACAGACGCCATTTTGTAATATGTGAACACTGGTTGTCGTGGGAAATTCTGCTAATAATCCGGCGTCTTCCGAGCCAAATTGGGGTTACAGCTTGAATTTATAATCAGGAACCCGTGTTAATGTCCCCTGTTGAAGAATTGGGACAGGAAATTTACGGGACCTCAACAACTGCGTGTGGAGGACAGAAAAATAGAGGACTTCAATGAATCATTCACATCAACACACCTTAGCTAAGTGATGCTCACCCATAATGTACAGTAGTTTTTGCGTTGGCCATCGTAAATTCTAGCTGCTAGGGCAGTGTTAGGGTGTGTTCCATCAACATTAAATGTCTTCCAGTAATTAAATGGTAAGTGTTAATACCAATTATATTTTGTGTATCCAACAAACCTAATCCTATGCAGTCCACACAACTTTAATCACCAGAGTGGTGAAGGAGTGGGCAGTCGAGGGAGTTGTAGTTCAGTGACCTACTTTGACGAAGTCCCACTTACCTCACGCAAATTACTTGCAGGCAATAATTCAGGTAATACCCTGTAAGTCTCCTGTTGGTGATTTGCTCACATAATATAATAATAATAATAATAATAATAATAATAATAATAATAATAAATTTTCAAAACGACGCATATTTTTTTTTCATTGTGATGAATTATAATTTTTATGGAGAATATTTAGACTGATATACAGTAGTCTATTTACTAAGTTTGCTTGAAGCTGTTAGACTAGCAGCTGATGTATTACTGTAACTTGTTAGACCAGCAGCAGCAGCAGCAGCAGCAGCAGCAGCAGTAGCAGCAGCAGCAGCGAGGTTACAACACCAACATGCCAGTGACCTTTCTCTTGCCTAATTACCATGACACATTCTCTTATAATTTAATATCTCTTCAACAAAACTTCTGATAATTGCCCCTCCAGGTATGGAAAACTCTTGATCAAAGGAATCAATGTTAACCTCACCTTGTTTTTAAAACCATGAAGCTAATGCCCATGAACATAGGCGTAGTGCAGCTGAAGAAATGCTTAATTCCATTTAGTATAAAGACCCATAGTTCCTCGTCAGATAAAGCAACGAGAAAGAGAGAGGAGCTGTTAAGTTTGCCTAAAACAGTAATTTGCTGCTTAGTAAACTAATTTATTAGGGTAAAAAAAAATACTGTCATAGCCATTGGGACATGAAAATAAATGAAAATTAGTAAGAGTTTGCAGAGTATGATTATAAAACAGTGTTAGGTACACCCGGATGTGTCTCTCATGTCATGCACTACAGAGCTCTCTTAATTTCCTTATTTTATGTATTAAAGTGTTCTTAACTGGTGGTAAGCAGGTTATGAAGCAACCTTAATGACCCTTCTGCCGATAGACTTTCAACCCCATTCAACAACCATCCTCGCAGTGTACACACACACTGATTTCACTCTAATCTATTTTCTAAGAATTATATCATTCTCGAATAGGCTTTAATTCTGATAATCTATCCAATCAACCATTTGTCAAAAAAAAAAAAAAAAAAAAAAAAAACATGCCAATGGATGCACGTAGTACGTATAATTATACAATGACTGAACACAGTACAACTTTACAAGAAACTAGTACGATAAAAACCAAATACTTTGCCTATTCGCTTTAGTGGAGAACGTGGCTTGCTGGTTAGATGTCGAAGCCAGGTGTGGGAGCCAGGTGTGGGAGCCAGGTGTGGGAGCCAGGTGTGGGAGCCAGGTGTGGGAGATAAATCTGGACATGGTGCAGCTACGAGCAAAACATTACTATTATAAAAGCCTCTCATCATGACTCAGCGGTACTAGTTCTGGCTCGCCTCATTTCACTCGAGCCTACTCATCGAGGCTTCCACATCATCTGCATTCTACAAGATCTAATTGTGAGGGAGAGAGGTAGGGAAGGGGAGACTTTATCCTAGAAACTAGAGCTACCTTTCCCCTCTTTGGATCAAATCTGATCACTTTCCATTTTCCAGGGCCCTGGATGAGTTTCACGGTCTCACTACTTCCACACAGTTAAAAAAAAAAATCTTGCGATCATTTCTGACAGGGTGGACGGGAAAGGCAGTGGAAAGCATCAATGATCCAAAATTACATGTTGTGGGTCAGCATATAATTTAGGCCCCCCCCCCCTTTTTTTTTTTTTTTTTTTTTTTTTTAGTAAAAACTGGATTTCGTTACTTTAACGGTTTACAACAACGACAATTTGATGAATTAGATGTTTCGCCCACCAGTGGCTTTTTCACTTCAATAGGAAGATTGTATACAAAACTCGCTGGAAGATTAGGTAATCAGTCTCTCAGCCTTGAAGGTGTCTAGTGTCTTAATCTTGATGGAGCAAGACTAAGTTACTGAACTCGTCAAGGCTGAGGGACTGATTACCTTATCTTCCACTACCTTTTGCATATCTATGTATTGAACTGAAAAAGCCACTGGTGTGTGAAACGTCTTTAAAATAGACACCTAAGTGTTGCAGCAGCGTGCTGCTACCCTAAACGAAACTCTTACCTACCTCACGTCACATTTTGCCCGTTTTAAATATCTCAGCATCATCGCAACCTTACAGTACCTAACAAACATGTTCTTAGATATACCTAAATTTTGGAAATTTTAAGTTAAATTAAGATGACCTAAGCTAGTATAACTAAAATTTAATTTGGTACGTTGTTCAGATCGTTCAATAAGTGACATATTAAATGCGTTAAGAAACGTACATAGCATTCTGAATGCAGGTTGCCCAGCCATGAGATAATGTTAGTTAAAGGGGGATTTAAAACCTTTTAACTAATTGAGGGTCATGTAGGCTGCATGTAACCTGTTTACCGCTAGTCAAGAATACTTTAACCCCTTAACAAAAAAAAAAGGGGGGAGGGGCTTAAAGTAGCCTCTCAGCGTATATATACCGAGAAGCATACAACTTTCGATGTATATGTCGCGTCACGAGGCTGAAAATACTAGTCTTGTTGCTGCTTACTAATGAAATTTTGGTCATTGTTCTCGTTTTCGTTGTGGAGCGGAGAGGCAAAACTGCTCTCCTTTCACCTGCTGTAAAATGAAGCGCACTCTTGTTCATGTTAGTGAGATCCTAGGTGCTCATTGTTTATTTCTTTCTCTTGTGCAGAGATGAAAAGGATGTTGACCAGCCTCTGTATAGATCCAGGGAGCACCTCTGTCTTTAGACGGGTCTCTGTGCGCCTCCAAGGAGCACCTCTGTTCTTACACGGGTCTCTGTACACCTCCAGGGAACACCACTGTCCTTAGACGGGTCTCTGTAGGCCTCAAAAGAGCACCTCAGTCTTTAGACGGATCTCTGTACACCTCAAGGGAGCACCTCTGTCCTTAGACGGGTCTCTGCCTCCAGGGAGCACTCTGTCCTTAGACGGGGTACTCCCTCGAAACATACAGAGGCCGGTCTATATCATTCATCTCCACACAAGAAAAAAGAACAACGCTCATCTGCCATCTCCATTAACATGAACAAAAGTGCGCTTCATCTCACGGCGGGTAAAATGAAGCGCATAACCTATACCAGGCTTCCAGGAAGACCTATCCCAGGCTTCCAACAAGACCTATCCCAGGCTTCCAACAAGACCTATCCCAGGCTTCCAACAAGACCTATCCCAGGCTTCCAACAAGGCCTATCCCAGGCTTCCAACAAAACCTCTCCCATGCTTCCAACAAGACCTATCCCAGGCTTCCAACAAGACCTATCCCAGGCTTCCAGCAAGACCTCTCCCAGACTTCCAACAAGACCTCTCCCAGGCTTCCAACAAGACCTATCCCAGGCTTCCAACAAGACCTATCCCAGGCTTCCAACAAGACCTATCTCAGGCTTCCAACAAGACTTTTCCCAGGCTTCCAACAAGACCTATCCCAGGCTTCCAACAAGACCTTTCCCAGGCTTCCAACAAGACCTTTCCCAGGCTTCCAACAAGACCTATCCCAGGCTTCCAACAAGATCTATCCCAGGCTTCCAACAAGACCTATCCCAGGCTTAAAACAAGACCTATCTCAGGCTTCCAACAAGACCTCTCCCAGGCTTCCAACAAGACCTATCCCAAGCTTCCAACAAGACCTTTCCCAGGCTTCCAACAAGACTTCTCCCAGGCTTCCAAGACCTATCCCAGGCTTTTATCTAGATGAATAATTATGGAGTGGTGTAGGCTCGATTCTCCATCTGGTAATGACCAGTGAGATATACGCTGCCTTATACAGCTCCTCCCGGTCTCTTGATTCCTGGAAACGGATCTACCCCTCCCATTCCGGGGATCAAACCTGACTGCCTGCCATTCCCAGAGCGCTTGTGATGCAGTTCAGATGGGCTTGTGAGGTCTCTAGGGAGACCTAATTATATGGTCACACCTGCCTTAGCAAATGTCGGGTAGT